AGCAGGAACCCTCGGTTGTGTGCCTCCTCCGGACCTGCTGGGAGTCCTCTTGGGGGTCTCTTGGAGCGTCTTGAAGGCGTCAGGGGCCATGTATGCACTGGGCCCGGTGCTGAAAAGGTCGGCTGGGCTTTCCGCGAACCCATGGAATTTAATGGTTTGGGAGCCTCTGGGTGGCCGCTTGGGCGGTCACGGCGGGCCTCTCGGGGGCCTCGTTTGGCCTCTTTGGGCCCTTTTCAGGGCCTCCAGGAGGTCTCTTAGGGCCGCTTGGGGGCCCCTGGGGGCGGAGGGGCCGAAAGGTCGGATCGGATCCCTCGTCTGGATCTCTTCTTGGAGCCTTCTGGGGGGCCTCTTGGTCTATCTTGGAGACCTCTTGGGCCGCCTCGGGGCCCTCTTAGGCCGTCTTGGGGCCGTCTTGGGGGCCTCTTGGGCCGTCTTGGGGCGATCTTGAAGGCCCTTTGGCCGTCTTGGAGCGTCGGGGAGGCGAAAAAGCGAGAAGCCGGAAAACCTTCAACAACCATCGAAACAATAATAGACTTTGCCTCTTGGGGACCTAAGGGAAAACCTCTTGGAGGCCTCTTGGGGCGTCCTGGAAGCCTCTTTGGCCGTCTTGGGACGAGCTGGGGCATCTTGGAGCGATCTTTGGGCGTCTCGGCGCCCGTTTTGGAGCCCTTTTGGGCTGTCGTGGGACCTCCTCGGGCGGCAAACGACGCCAACATGGCCTCTGCATGGGGGGGGGCCGGCGAAGAAGCCGCGAACATGGCCCCCAGAGGTGGTTCCCGGGCGGAGAAAAATAAATCCCCTCCGGACCCCCCCCATCCTAGGGGGGGGGGTCCTTTATGTTTTGTATTGGATGAGGTGTATATATATATATATATATACTTTATATATTATATTATATATCTGTTTATATCTGCCGGCGGAAGGAGATCGGGGCCGCCAGGCCGGTACCTGCGCCCCCCATGGCCGCTCCGGGGCTCTCGGGGCGCTCCTGTCTGGGCCAAGAGGCGGCCAAGACGTGCCCAGGGAGGCGCAAGTGGCCCCCAAACGGGTCCTAGACGGCCCCGGGGCGCTCAAATATCGCCCCTGGGCGCTCAAGATGGCTCCCAAGCCGCTACAACGCCCCAAGTTGCTTTCCGATTTTGCATGGGAAAGCGTGCATTTTTAGCGTCATTTCGGTCTTCACGGCGTGCACGAGGGTACAAGAGGCCCCCGCGACGGCCCCAAGACGCCCCAAGACGGCCCAAGAGGCTCCCAACACGGCCCAAGAGGCGGCCAAGGCGTGCTCAAGAGGCGGCCCAGACGTGCCCACGGAGCCCCAAGAGGCTCCCGAATCGGTCCAAGACGGCCCCAGGGCTCTCAAAGATCGCCCCTGGACACCCAAGATGGCTCCCATAGAGCCCAAGAGGCCGCTACGACGCCCCAAGAAGCTTTCCAAGGGAGCCCCGAGCGGCCAAAATCATGGATCTTGCATAGGAAAACGTGCATTTTTAGCATCTACGACTTTTCGTTTTTCACGGCGTGCACGACGGTACAAGAGGCTCCAAGACGGCCCCAAGAGGCTACCAACACGGCCCAAGACAGCCCGGGGGGCGGCCAAGGCGTGGCCAGAGGGCCCCATGAGGCTCCCAAAACGTTCCATGGCGGCCCTGGAGCGCTCAAAGCTAGCCCTTGGACGCCCAAGACGGTTCTCACAGTGCCCAAGATACCGCGAAGACGCCCCAAGAGGTCCCCAAGAGGCTTTCCAAGAGGGTCCCAAGAGGCCAAGATCATTGATTTTGCATAGGACAACGTATATTCTTAGCATCTACGACTTGTCGGTCTTCACAGCGGTGACGACGGTACAAGAGGCCCCCACGAGAGTCCCCAAACGGCCCAAGCCCAAGAGGCTCCAAAGACGTCCCGAGAGGGGGCCAAGACACCCCAAGAGGACCCCAATACGACCTAGGAGAGCTCCAAGACGGCCCCAGGACGCGTTTCGATCGATTTGTCCTTGACCTCGGCTAGAACCAAAGCGCGCGAAGCTCGCGATGGTTCTAGTATGTATGTATGCATGCATGCATGCATGTATGTATGTATGTATGTATGTATGTATGTATGTATGTATGTATGTATGTGTGTGTATGTATGTATGTATGTATGTATGTATGTATGTATGTATGTATGTATGTATGTATGTATGTATGTATGTATATATGTAGGTATGTATGCAAATATGTATGTTTGTATGTATGTATGCATGCATGTATGTATGACTGTATGTATGTATGTATGTATGTATGTATGTATGTATGTATATATATATATATGTATGCATGTACGTACATATGTATGTATATATGTATGTATGCATGCATGCATGTATGTATGTATGTATGTATGTATGTATGTATGCATGCATGCATGCATGTATGTATGTATGTATGTATGTAATGTATGTATGTATGTATGTATGTATGTATGTATGTATGTATGTATATATGCATGCATGCATGCAGGTATGTACGTATACATGTATGTATGTATGTATGCATGTATGCATGTATGTATGTATGTATGTATGTATGTATGTATGTACGTATGTATGAATGTATGTATATATGTATGTATGTATGTATGTATGCATTTATGTATGTTTGATTGTTTGTTTGTATGCATGCATGCATGCATGCATGTATGTATGTATGTATGTATGCATGTACGTATGTATGTATGTATGTCTATATATACGTGTGTTTGTCTGACTGTCTGTCTGCATGTGTATTTGTTTGTACGACGAGTGTGCGTGGCGCTAAGGCGAGAGACCCGTCTGTGCTCTCCCGTGTAACTGTTGGGGGGTTCAAGGCTCAGGGGCGTAAGAGGTGAGCAAGCCTCGGGCGAGACGCGGAGGAGGATTCCGGTAGATTCTGCTGCTTAGCTGTCAGGAGAGTCGAGAAACGAGTAACCGCGGCGAGGGGATATCTTACCTGCCCTCGGGCCCTCCCGCGAGCAACGGGGCTCGACGCATGAGGAGGAGGAGGAGGAGGAGGAGGAGGAGGAGGAGGAGGAGGGGAGGAGGAGGAGAAGGTGGAGGAGGAGGAGGAGGAGGAGGAGGAGGAGGAGAGGAGGAGGAGGAGGAGGAGGGGGAGGAGGAGGTAGGAGGGGAGGAGGAGGAGAGGAGGAGGAGGAGGCGGAGCAGGAGGAGGAGCAGGATGAGTAGGAGGAAAAGAAGGGAGAGTGAAAAGGAGGAGGAGGATATGAGGAGGAGGAGGAGAGGAGGAGGAGGAGGAGGAGGAGGAGGAGGGAGGTAGGAGCAGCAGGAGAGGAGGAGGAGGAGGAGCAGGAGGAGGAGAAGGAGAGAGGAGGAGCAGGAAGGGAGGAGGAGGAGGAGAGGAGGAGGAGGGGGAGGCAGGAGGAGGATGAGGAGGAGGAGGAGGAGGAGGAGGAGGAGGAAGAGGAGGTACAAGCTGAGGGGGGGCGCCCCCCTCGCACAACCTTCTCGCATAGGACCAGCGCCTCACGCAGATGATCCTCGGCAAGGCCCTCACTCGTCTGAGGGAGGTGTACTCTCTGATGCAGCAGCAGCCTGGTGCCGCGCACATCGCCACGTCTGGTACCTCCTCCTCCACCTTCCCTCATCCTCGTCTCTACCATCTTCAGGCTGCCTCCTGCTCCTCCTCCCTTCTCCTAAGTGATTCTCAAGCTATTCTTACTCTTCATCCTCCTGTTCCTCCTCCTCCCTCCTGCTCCTCCGGCTCCTCCTGCTCCTCCTGCTCCTCCTGCTCCTCCTGCTCCTCCTCCTCCTCCTCTTCCTCCTCCTCCTCCTCCTCCCGTCCCTCCTCTTCCCCCCCTCCCCCCCTCCCCCTCCCCTCCTCCGCCCCTCGTGCCAGGCCGTTGCTGCCCCCGGTGAAGCGCGCCCCACGGTTCGGCAGACGGGCCCCTCGTGCCGTTCGGTGCGGCTCGGCCACGGCGGCCGAGGCTCCGCGCGGCGGGCCTCCCGTCCACCGAGCCGTGCTCGGGCGCGGGTACTGAGCGCGCCCCTTGGCGCTTGCTGCCCTGCTCGGGGCTCGCTCGTCGTCGTCGTCGTCGTCGTCGTCGTCGCCGTCGTCGCCGTCGTCGTCGCTGTCGTCGTCGTCGTCGTCGTCGTCGTCGTCGTCGTCGTCGTCGTCGTCGTCGTCGTCGTCGTCGTCGTCGTCGTCGGCGTCTGCTGCCCTGCCCGAGGGCTCGTTCCCCCCTGCGCGGTGGCCGCCGCTGTCCCCCCACGGTGCCCCTCCCTCCCCGTCCGTCCATTCGCCCTCCTCGAGACCATGATGTAAAAGCACGAGTTCTCAACATATCCCAAATCTCGGGTTGCTCATCGTGTTCCACACCGGGTTCCCACGGAGTTGCTTTATTCATAGATTCCCAGATGGGATTCGGCAACGGCCCCCCCCCTCTCTCCCTCCCCGTTCCTCCCTCGCCCCTTCCATGTCCCCCTCCCCGCACCTTCCTGATCTTCCTGCTCTTCCCCTCCCTCCTTTCCTCCTCCCTCCTCCTTCCTCCCTTCCTTCCTCCTCCTTCCCAATTCCTCCTCTTCTTGCTTCTCCACTTTCCTCCGGTACCAAGACGGACGCGGGCAACGCGCCCGCTCGCTTCACGAAGTACGAGAAGAACGCGGGCGGCGGCAGGGTGGTTTTCCTCTAGTACTGGCCGAGGGAAGGAGGATGAGGAGGGAGCATGGGCAGACGGCGAGAGAGGGCGGACGTCGGGAGAGGGCAGAGAAAGAGGGAGCAACGAGCAGGAGGGAGGAGGAGGAGGAGGAGGAGGAGGAGGAGGAGGAGGAGGAGGAGGAGGAGGAGGAGGAGGAGGAGGAGGAGGAGGAGGAGGAGGAGGAGGAGGAGGAGGAGGAGAGGAGGAGGAGGAGGAGGGGGAGGAGGAGGAGGAGGAGGAGGAGGAGGAGGAGGAGGAGGAGGAGGAGGAGGAGGAGGAGGAGGAGGAGGGAGGAGGAAGGAGGAGGGAGCGGACGAGGAGGCAATCAGGTGGTCATGCTGCTCGAGAAGATCGCGGCGGACGCCAAGAGGCTGGAGGACGAGGCCGTCGCGGGCGAGATGAGCGCGCAGAGCGTGTACGAGGACTTCATGAAGCGGTCCAACAAGGAGACCAGGGCGAGCGCGTGCCCGCCTTCTGTCCTCGAGCTATCTCTGCGGTTGTTGCTGCAGCGTTCTTCTCGCCTACAGTGGAGACCCATGCCAACAAACACCCTGCTTGCCTCCAGGGTGCCCTGGGTTTCTTCAATTTCGATGGTTTTGTTGTGGAAAGCGTGACGTTCCAACACCAAAAACCAAAGGACGTCCCGGGGTCTGAGGGTTGAGTTTCTGGTGGAGGGTTTCTTGTGGTCGGGACTCTATTGTATCGGTCTTGCGTAGGCCAAGTTTGAGGGCATCGAAGCAAAAAACAAAAACGCCATAAACATAAACTTTTGGCGCTCCGCGCGGATTTCTTGGATCCGCGCCGGGCCCCCCCTGGCGGCGCCTCCGGCGCCGCCCCTGGCGCGCTCGGATCCGAGAAATTCGCGCTGAGCGCCAAAAGTTTGTGTTTATGCCGTTTGTTTTTTCTTCTAGGGTAAGGATGCACGCGGAGGTCCTGCGGTTCCTCGCAGTTTTCCGGCCTCCCAGACTCATCGGACTTCGGTCCATTTTAAGAGTAAGGCTGCACGTTGAGGTCGCCTGCACGCCGAGGTCGCCACGGAGAGAGTGGTCCTGAGGTTCTTCGCAGTTTTCCAGCCTCCCGGAGTTCCCTCACCTGGGCCCCAGGGCCGTAAGAACAAAACTTTGCTTCGGGGCGAAAGGCCAGCCCCAGCGGAGAGAACCCCGCGGCCTGGGGCCAGTTTCCAGGTAGTGTTAGAACCAAGACCAGTCGCTCCAGAGCGTTCTGGAACGCTATCACAGCGCTCTGGAGCGCTCTGGAACTGGCGCGGCGCCCGATGCGTCCTCCAAGCCCGCCAGCTCTCGGAGATTTGCGATCCATCTCGATCCGATGTTTTGTTCGTGCCGTTTCTTCGTCTGTCGTCCTCCGTCTCGTCGCTGTGCCACTGGCCCCTCCTGCGCTGCTGAGCAGAGGCGGCTCTCCCCTCGCCCTGCCCATGACTCCGTGCGAGGTGAGCGCACGACGGGCGTTTCTGCCGGGCTTTCAGGCGGCCAGCTTCGGCCTCCTCGCGGATCGGTCTTCAGCCTCCTCGCGGATCGGTCCGGCCTGGAAGTTGCCGCCAGAAGGCGAGGTCGAGGGCTTCGGTCGTGATGGATCGCGGCGCCGTGGCTTCGAGAGGATGCCCGACGCCCGGGCCCCCCGAGCCCTCCTCTTCTGCCTTCCCCATCCTCGTTGTCGTCGTCGTCGTCGTCGTCGTCGTCGTCGTCGTCGTCGTCGTCGTCTTCTTCTTCTTCTTCTCCTCCTCCTCCTCCTCCTCCTCCTCCTCCGGGGAGACCCCTCCGAGGCCCCGCCAGCGGCGCTGTTGCTCAACGGTGAGGTTGGGACTGCGCACTTCACCACCCACCAAACCACCCCAACCCAACCCGAAGGCCTCAATTTGCCCTTCATTTCCAGTGTGGGGGGGTCCGCGAACATCGAAAAAAACATATGGAGCCCATACCCCCCCAACCCGAAATTCGGGTCTTCGGTTTGGGTTGGGGTGGTCTGGTAGGTAGTCAGCACTTTGTACAGTCGGGGCGCTGAAGAAGGAACCCTTTTCGTTGGGGAGGGGCTCGAAGTTCCTTCATTGTTCCACACCTTGTCTCAAGTTTCCCTCCGGTTTTCGATGGGAAGTCAAAGTTTAACTTACGAAAGAAGGGGTCTCGTTCCTTATTTAGGGTTCCTTAGGTCAACGCCTTGACTGTAGGAAGACGCGCGCCACGCTTTCCTACACTTTCCAGCGTGCGAGTGCCTCGAGCGACCGCGGCGCAGCGAGCCGCAGGAGAGGGCGCGAGGAGCCGCGCGCTCCCACGGTGCCGAGAAACCTGCACCGCCGTGGCCCACGGCGCCGTTCGCGCGCCTGCGGCCTCCTGGGCCGCCCCCCCCCCCTCGAGAACGGCAGCCCTGCCAGTACGGTCGGGGCGCTGAAGGAGGGACCGTACATGGACAATATATTCGAACCCTTCCACATGTGAGGGAGATTCTAAATCACCCCCGCGCCCCCGACACCAATGTTGATCTCAGTAAAGGCGGTTCTTTGGGGTTCGAGTATTTCTGTCCACTCACGCCCCCCCCTCGCCACGCCATCAATATTAATTTCGGGGGTCTGGGGGGCATCTTGGGCCACAGGGTTCGAATCTAATGTCCATGTACTGGAGCCCCTTTCGTTGGGGAGGGGCTCCGTGCTCCTGAGCTGTCTCGCAGCTTGCCTCTGGTCCTCCTCGGGCGGTTCTCGGTGGGAGATCGCAGTGGAGCTTACTGTGGAAGACAGGGGCCTCGTCCCTCACCCATAGCTTGGCGTCGCTCGGACGTGTGCGTTTTCTCCTCGGCGAGGACCATCGAGGAGCATCCTTGATCATTTGGCGGAAAAACCACGCAGGAAACCGAACAAAAACACAGGAAACGGACGTCCGAGCGATGGCCAGATAGGGCTCCGGAGGCCACCGCCCCGCCTGGCAGAGGCCCTCGGTGCGGCGTGCGGCCCCGCCCCCCCCCACGGAGGACAGGTGGCCCTCTCGGCGCACACGGCGGCGGGGGTCGGGGGGTGGACAGACCTCCTACAGTCGAGGCGTTGACCTAAGGAGCCCTAAACAAGGAACGAGGCCCCTTTTTTCCATAAGTTAACCTTCGATGTCCCATCGAAAACATAAGGGAAGCCTGAGGCAAGCTGTGAAACACTTAAGGAACGCGGAGCCCCTCCCCAACGAAAAGGGTTCCTTCTTCAGGGCCCCGACTGTACCCTGACACGTCGATTGAGGAATTGGCCGTTTTTCGGTTCGCGAGAGGGCGTCGCGGCGCCGTCCTTTCTGCGGGCCCAGACCCGTCGGTGTCGGTCCCGGGCCGTTTTCACTGAGGGGAGGTTTGCTCAAGGGAGGTTTGTCCGCCGCCGAGGGGGCGGGGGGGCGCACCGCCCCGGCCCCCTCCTCGCGCCCCCCCCCCTCCACCGCGCGGAGGCCGGCCCCCGGGGCGACGGAAGCGCCGTGGCAGGGCCTCGCCTCCCGCCTCGAGGCCGGGCCCCCCCCCCTCCTCCCCGGAAACTCTCGGGCGCCTCGACCAGGGGGCGGGGCGGAGGTCTCTCGCGGTCTTCGGCCTCTCTCTTCCGGCCCTCCCCGGGCCTCGGGGGCCGTCCAGCGGGAAGACCACCCGCGACGGAAGTAGCCGGTCACGGGGGCGAGTGGTCGAGAGGTCGGGGAGGCCGCGCCTCGAACAAAAAATATCGGGGCGCCGGTTGTCTGGGCCGCTTTCCCCCCCCGGTCCGCCCCACAGCTGCACGGGGCCACAGCGCCGTTGCTCAGCAGGGCCACGGCGGCACCGCGCGCGGCAGCGTCCGCCCCGCCGCGCCCACGCCGCCGGCAGAGTGGGCCAGGCTGGGCGGCTTCTCTGCGCTGGTGGGCGCCGGAGCCCGGCAGCGCGTCTCCGTCCTTCCGAGCCTGGAGTTCATCTGGGAAGCGTAGGGTTCGAGTGCAGAGGGAGCCCATGCCAAGAAACACCCTGTTTGCCTCTGGGGTGCCCTGGGTTCCTCGGGTTCCGGTGATTTTGCGAGTGAAAGCGTGGCGCTCCCACACCAAGAGTCGATGGACGTCCTGGGATCTCAGGGTTGGGTTTCTTGTGGAAGGTGTATTGTGCTAGAGCTCCTACTGTACGCCAGAACTCGGGTTTGCCGACGCTTTTTAACGAGCGCGTCTTGGATTTTGACGGTCTAGTGTTCGTGGGATGTTTGCAGCGGGAGCTCGCGTCGAATTTCAGATTGGGTTTCGTCGTTTTCATGATGGCCCCGTCAGGCCAACCCGAGTCCCCCGAACCCAAGTTTTACGTCTCCCCGACTTCCGAGCCTGGAACTTAGCATCGTATGCCACCCGACCACGTGTCCTTGTGCCAGCGTGTGCAGTGGTGGTGGACAACATCAGTGGCTTGGATGCGGACTTCCTCCACCGCCACCACCGCCCTGATTTGTCGACGACGGTCTTCCGGCAGAGATGACAATTCTTCCATTGCGCAGTGGTTATCGTGGGGCTGTTGGTTGGGCGTCCAGTGCCATCGTAACATGTTGTGTGTCCCGAGCTTGCTTCACTCCCCTGGAGCCCCCTTGAAAACTCCCAGAGCCCCCTAGTAGCCCGCAAGTGGTCTCCATCCAAAGCAGGCTGGGGTCACAGTTGACCTCGACACGTTCTGGCCCATTTGAGAACCTTCCCGACCTGTGCAAGCGCTGTATAGCATGCTTTCAGATTTCATTGCAGGTTCCTGGCAGGCTCATTCGTCTACGGCCTGCTACTGTCATTGTCGTGCTGTCGTGGAGGTTGGCTCCAAAAATCCTCCCTGCTCCCTCTCCCCCGGAGGAGCTCACGGCCTACGGGGAGTCGCTGCAGTCCATGCAGGCGGCGAAGGCCACGGCGGAGAGCGACCTGTCCATGACCAAGACCGACCTCAGGGACACGCTGAAAGAGCTGGAGGGTCTGAACAGCTACCTAGGCCCGTGGCGGTTGTCGAGAAACACAACACGACATACGCAGACGCTATGGGAGCGGCGCTAGTCCCTCCCTCCGCACCCCTGGCGCCTCCTCTGGCCCCACCACGAGCGCTCTCGGGAAAGAGGGGAAGGGGTCCAACGCCGACCCAAGAAATCTGTGCGGACCTCGTTGGATCCTCGTTTTGAGTCCGCAGCGTCCCGCGTCTTACCTCCTTCCTCCTCCCGCTCCCCATCCTTGTCTCTGCTCTCCGCATTCCCCTATTCTCCCTGCCACTGCTCTCCGCATGTCCATGTCGCCACGCCTCTGCACGTTTCGTGGCCTACATGGAACTCCACCGAAGGCCACCGTGGCCACGCCCGCATGTTGGGCACGTCCATGTCGGTACACGCCTCACACGTTCAAGGCCCCAGTGACAGCGCCCACGTGCCGCACTCGGGCCCAGGTCTTCGCACCACTCGCACGTTTGGTGGATCCATAGTGAGCTCCACCGAAGGCCCTGGTGGCAGGGTCCGCATGCGGTGCGCGGGTCCATTTCGGCGCACACCTCACGCTTCTGGTGGCCCCATAGGGAGCTCCACCTGCAGCCCCAGCGGGCGCGGGCGCGTTCGCATGGAGGCGCCGCCTGCATTTCGGGAGCCCTACCTACGGCCTCAGCGGGTGCGTTCGCGTTGGGCCCCCGCCCGATTCGAAACACCCCTCACGCGCACCGTGCCCCACATGGAGTTCAACACGTCTGTGCGCGTTTGCTCCGCAGCCCCCTACCCACGCTGCCCCGCGGCGCTGTATACATCCGCCGGCCCCCTTGTGGGGCCACCAGGCTGTAGGCCGAAGGTTCGCAGTTTCCTGTGCCAGTTGCAGCTTCCAGTTTCCACTGTTACAGTTCTGCTTCTTGCTGCTTACTGTTCCTTCTTGATGGACCGCGCGAGGGGGGGAGGCCCAAACGGGCAGGTTTAGCACGCCCTGAGCGTGTGCTCTGAATTGCTGGGGTGAGTAAAAATTATACCCCTCACGCAGATCGGCGGGGTCAGGGGGCAAAAACACCGGGGATTTGCCACATTTTTGAAATTCGGTGGCACCACTCACGCAGATGGGCGGGGTCAGGGTCCAAAAACACATGGGATTTCCCACATTTCTAAAATTTGCTGGTACCCCTCACGCAGATCGGCGGGGTCAGGGGGCAAGAACATATAGGATTCGCAACATTTCTGACATTCGGTGGCACCCCTCACGCAGATGGGCGGGGCCAGGGTGCAAAAACATATGGCATTCTCCGCATTTTTGAAATTCGCTGACACCCCTCACGCAGATCGGCGGGGTCAGGGTCCAAAAACACATGGGATTTCCCACATTTCTGAGATTCGGTGGCACCCCTCACCCAGATCGGCGGGGTCAAAGTGCAAAAACATCAGGTACTTGTTACATTTCTGAAATTCGATGGCACCCCTCACGCAGATCGTCGGGGTCAGGGTCCGAAAACACATGGGATTATCAACATGTCTGAAATCTGGTGGCACCCCTCACGCGCATCGACAGGGTCACGGTTCAAAAACATAGGGGATTTGCCACATTTCTGAAATTCGGTGGCACCCATCACGCAGATCCGTAGGACCAGGGTCTAAAAACACAAGGGATTTGCGACATTTCTGAAATTCGGTGGGACCTCTCACGCAGATCCGTAAGGGTCGAAAAACAAACAGGTCCCGACACTGCTTCACGGCGGCGCCCAGACCTCATGATTTAGCTTTTGCATTTCCCATTATCCGAGGCAGGGGGCCAGCGGCATGGGGCGAAGCCCTTACGGATATATGTATGTATGTATGTATGTATGCATGCATGCATGCATGCATGCATGCATGCATGTATGTATGTATGTATGTATGTATGTATGTATGTATGTATCCATACATGTATATATTTATGTTAAATGGTACATATACACGTGTATATATGTGTATGTACACATACACAGGTTTGCCAGCGTGGACCCCAAACAGTCTGTTCTAGCATACTGTGTGTTACAATCCATGTGGTGCAAGCTATGTTGTACCATCTCCGTGGTGCAATATATGTGATGCAAGCTATGTGGTGCAAGCTATGTGGTGCAATTAATTTCTGTTCGCGGTGAGTTGTCCACTCCACTGCTCTCGCAAATATCCCACCCACCCACCCGCAACTTGGTTTGCAAAATCTCTTAAGACCGTGACGGTGGGTACCACATGGCACTTGGCAACAGCAGCGACGCCGACGACGACAGCGACAACGACGATGACGACGCCGCCGACAACGACTACGACGACGCCGACGACGTCTCCAACGACTTCGACGACGCCGACAACGACGACGACGACGACACCGACGACGACGACGACACCGACGCCGACGACGACGACGATGACAACGACGACGACGATGACGACGCCGACGACGACGATAACGATGACACCGACGACGACGACGACGACGCAACGACGACGACGACGACGACGACGACGACGACGGCGGCGACGACGACGACGCCGACGTCGACGACGACGAAGACGACAACGACGCCGACGCCGACGACGACGACGAAGACGACGACGACGTCGCCAACGAAGACAACGAGGAAGGAGGGAGGACGACGACGGCGACAACGACGACAACGACGAGGGAGGAGGGAGGATGGCGACGACGCGACCGACGAAGAAGGAGGAAGGACGGCGACGCCGACGACGGCAACGACGAGGGAGGAGGGGAGAGGACGACGACGACAACGACGACGACGACGGCGGCGACGAAATAGGAGGGACGACGACGAGACGCCGACGACGGACGACGACGACGACGAAGGAGGAGGAGGAAGGACGACCACGGCGACAACGGCGACGGAAACGACCACGACGCCAAAGAGGACGACGACGACGAACACGAGGAAAGACAGAGGACGACGTAGGCGACGACGACGACGACAACGACGCGGGAGGAGGGAGGACGGCGACGACGACGACGACGCAAGAGCGCGCGCGTACGCTTTTGTTGAAAATCCGTGTTGCGAAACCTGGTGTTTTTGTAGGTTTTTTGGACACGATGTTGAACTCCTTCCGAAACCGATGGGTTTCGCAGGTTTTCGGCATACGCGCGCGACGACGCGCGCGTCTGCACTTCGTCTCGTTTTTTGCAGGGGATTCTCGCGACGGCACACGCGCAAGGGCGTTCGACAGATTCCGACATGAGCGCGCGCGAAGCCCGTTTGGTAGCATTTTGTGAAAATCTTGAAACACTTATGGTTTTCTTAAGATTTCGCAAGAGCTTTCGCGGAAGTTGTTTTAGCAACTCTGTGTTGCGAAACCCTGTGTTTTTGTATGTTTTTTTGGAAGCTCGATTGCGACATCACTCCCGCACCGAAGGTTTTGGAAGGATTTCGGCATGCGCGCGCGACGACGCGCGCGTGTGCACTTCGTTTCGTTTTTTTGCAAGGGATTCGTGAAAACGTGCTATGTGAGAACGAACTATGCCACCGCATCGTGTTTTTTACAAGGGGAACCTCAGGGGGGGAAACCGGTTTGGCTGGGATGGTATGGTTTCATATTTAGGATGGACGAGTAGAATATATATATATATATATATGACATCTATTATCCCAGGGGGAACCGATAAGTCTGGGGGGGTGTGTAGAGTCTATTCTCTTTTTTGAAAGGAGAATATATATGTTGCGATCTATGTGTTGCAGTATCGTGCAATCTACGTGGTGTGAGCTACGTCATGCAAGCTACGTCGTGCAACATCTGTGGTGCAAACTTTGTGGTGCAATCTATATCGCGAACTCTTCTGTTGTGCAGTAAATCATGTGCAATACTGAGTTGTCAACTGCACTGCTCGCGCAATCATCCCACCCACCCACCCGCAACTTGGTTTGCAAAACCCTTGCGATGACGATTGCGATGAGTGCTTCGCGCTGGCTGGCGCATCGTTGCGGCCGCGCTAGCGCGCGCAGGCTCGCGCGCAAAGTGGCGGGCTAGTCTGGCGCGACCGACGCGGCCGCGGTGGCGCTGACCGCTGGGGACTTCCTTGCGCGTTTCGCAGGCGGCGCTGACGCGTAGGCACGTCAGTGCGAATCGGTGAGTCGGGCGGGCGCGGTGTCATGGCGACGTCGACAACGGCAGGCACGATGATGATAATAGCGATGTCGGTGACGACGATGACGATGACGACGGCAAGGCCAATGACGGCGCCGATATTCATTACGCCGATGACGGTGATGGTGCCCACGTGCTGGTAATGAAGGTTTTGGGAGGATTCCGACATGCGCGCGCGACCAGCGGGCACGAGTGGCCCGCATGAGGTTCTTGACAGGGGTCGTACCCCCCAGCGCGCGCGCGCAAAGGCGTTCAATTCAGTTTGACATGCGCTCGCGCGAGGGGCTTCCTGGTTGGCACTTGATGCACATATTGAGAACCTATGGTTTTCGTAAGAATTCATAAAAAAAAAACGCGCGCGCAGATTTTATAAGACAGCTAATGGCAGAGCCATGTTGTGTTGTTTCAATGAATGTTGTCGGGGCACTCGGTTGTGATATCCGTACGACCCCCCCCCCCGATTTTTGAAAAGGTTTCGGCATGCGCGCGCGACGACATGCGCGTTTGCACTGCGTCCCGTTTCCTTTTGTACGGTTTTTGAAAACATGTGAGTATTGATAAAGGGATGTGCGTATCGTATTCTTTGGCGAGGATGAAACACCCTGGCCTGGCTGCGATGGCATGAATTTCATTTTTAATGAACGATGGGGCAGAATCGTATGTAAACTGCACATCCCTAGGGGGAATCGATAACCCTGGTTTCGGGGTGGTGGTAGGTCCTAATTCCTTTTTTTATACAAGTGAGAAACTCAGTGGCGCATGCTACGTGGTGCAACAAAAACCTGTGCAATCTAGGTGGTACAATGCCAAGCCATGGGGAACAATGCGACGCAAAGCGAAGCAATGCAACACAATGCGACGCAATGCGGACAAATGCAGAGTGGGCGGCGTGTGGCGGGCGTGGACGACGCGGTGACGGCGGCCACGTGGCGGCCAGAACAGAACGGCCCGCAGGCCCAAACGACGGGCGGCGACGATGCGGCGACGGGGCGCCGACGGCTGCCACATAGCCGCACGACGGGCGGCGACGAGGCGACGACGGGGCGGCGACGGCGGCCGCATAGCCGCCAAACTGCCGCGTAGGCCCAGTTCCGTAGAGCAGAAATAACAAAGCCAAACTACCAACACCGTTTTGGATTACATGTATGTATGTGTGTATGCCAAGTATTTGTATATATATATATATATATATATATATATATGAATGTATGTATGTATATACATATGTATAACGAGTGCTTGACCCTGTTTTGCGCGTAGCTCAATAGGGATGGAGCCTTCGCCAAATATTATTTGTTTTGTTGTGTGCCTAGGAATAACTATGCATGCGCAGCCGGAACCACGTCTCCAGATGGCCCCGAAGTGCACAGCTGGTTTGATTTTTGGCTAATTCATCAGTGTTTCACGGCAAAGCGCGGCAAGGTTCAGCGCACCTCAGCGTCTGCAAAGAGGCCTGCCATTATGCGGCCAGAGGCGTCCGAAACGAACAGTCAAGCATGTTGTGCAGAGACAGAGGGGCAGCCAGACTTGTCAAGAGTCGACAGAACATTCCTTCTCTCTGGCCTGGGTGATCTGGCCGATCGGCTCCTGGACGCCCCCGGCCCTCTCGCGGGGCGGGAAGGTCATCGTTTTCTCATTCATTGCTTTGCCGATCGGCGCGGGCCCTCGCACCCCCCCCGTGGAGTAGATATCGGCTGTGTTTGGTTCCTGTTTCGAGCAGGTGGGGTCTCCCTCACAGGACGCACTGTTGCAAACAGTCGCGCTAAGCAGAGGTGCGGAGCCAGACCCCCTCCTCCCCTCCCCCCCCCCCCCCGCCCAATGTCGAAACGCCGGGTAAGGAAACGCTCACCAGGAGAACAACAACGGCACGAGCAGAAACATCGGGAGGCCTCGGCCGATGTCTTCGGTCGGCGCTGGATTCCCCCCCCCCAGCCGGGCCGCGCGCCACTCCCCCCGTCCTCCGGGCGGCGCCTCTGGCGCCGCCCCAGGAGCGCTCCGCGCCAGGGAGTGGGGGTCCGCCGCTGATCCAAAAAGTCCGCGCGGGGCTTTCGAGAGCCCCGGTTTACTAACGCAGGTTTGCTTCGGCTTCGGTAGGCGAGGCGGTCCGTGCGGATCTCTTCGGTCGGGGCTGGCTCCCCTCCCCCCCAGCTGGGCCCGCGGGGTCGGCGCCGCCGCAGGCGCGCCAGGAGTTGTGGTGAGGGAGGTTTTCCGCGCCTGCCCGAGAAGCCCGCGCGGACCTGACGCAATTAGGGCTACGTCCGACGACGACGACGACGACGACGACGACGACGACGACGACGACGACGACGACGACGACGACGACGTGACGACGACGAAGACGACGACCGCGTCCAGGGCGACGACGGCGACGACGACGACCAATTAACTCTGGCAGTCTAAGCCTCCTAGATGGGGTCGGAGTAGATGGGGTCGGAGGATCGCGCCGCATGGCCGATGCATCGGCGAAGCGGCCCGATGCGGAGCCCGGTTTTCTCCACGCCGACGGCGCCGATGTCTCGCCGACGTCGCTGATGCATCGCGGATGCATTGCCGATGCATCGGCGATGCGGCGCGATCTTCGACCCCATCTACTCCGACCCCATCTAGGAGGCCTCTAAGGATGCCCCGCTGCCGTGCTTCTGGTGCCAGACGCTTGTCTCTAGTCAGACTCTGGCAAGCTTGCCCTGAGATCCCGGCGTCGCATTTTTACACAACGGGCGTTTTCGTCCCGTCTCGGGCCCTGGGGCCCTCACGGATCGATCCGGTTCAAAATTGATGCAGGAAGATGCGGTCCGGGGCTCGGGGCTCCGTTTTTTTGTTATGTTTTTTGTTTGTGCGATGTTGCATTTTTGGTTGTAACGTCAGATCTGAGTCTGCTAGCCTCAAGAATGACCCTTCGCTGGAGTGACGCTCGAACGACGGAAGGAAACGGGGTCGACGGCGCGGACACTCGCGCGTGAGCTTATTGCTCAAGGCCGCGCCCGAGCGCCCTTTTCTCCGCGCGGTGTGCCACGCGGTGTGCCCCGCTGGCGGCCCGCGTAAGCCACCGCGCAAGGTCGCTGTGTCATCGTGCGTAAGACCCGTCTCTCCTCCTCCTCCACCTCCTCCTCTTCCTCTTCCTCCCCCTCCCCCACCCTCCTCCTCCTCCTCCTCCTCCTCCTCCTCCTCCTTCCGTAGCCATTTTGGCTCAAGTTTTGGTTTCCCAGGGGAAACAAGTGGATACCGCTAGTCCGCGGCTTGACCCCAGGTTCTTCATCGTTCCGCTGCGTGAGCTGCCCAGCGGCGCAGCATCCTGTGTGGCCTCTCTGTGTGTCATGGGCAAGAAGCCAGCTCAGCAGTATGCGTGGTGCTCGTGTGGAGAGTGGACCTACAACTGGAGGATCGAGGAGCTTGGTGGCAAATGCTTGTTCTGCAAGAAGCAGCTTGAGGTGTTCAAGCCCAAGAAGAAGTACCCGAAGTCCGATGGTGGGGGCACCCCGCCATGGAGAGAGCCATCGCCAATTTCGTTGCGAGACTTTCTCCCTGAAGAGCTTCGGGCTACGCCTGCCGCGCAAGCGTTGCAGGCCGAGATCGACAAGGCAGAGCAGGAGAAGCAGCAGAAGGCCACCAAGGACCCGTCCGCGGCGAAGCAGGCTATGCTCAGGGCGGATCGCATCGCGGAGCAGGAAGAGCAGCGCCTCATCAAGACGGCCAACAGGCTCCTCGAGGCGGAGCAGGCGTTGGAGGAGGCCAAGAGGATCCACAACCTCCAGATCGAGACCTCCCTCGCCGCCGAGGCCGAGCGCACGAAGGCGCACGACGACTACTGGCGTTTGGACCCGACTCCCAGGCGCCCCGAACCCAAGGATTCAGCTGCAGTGTTCTTTGAGGTGGACTCCGCCCTCTTCGAGAACATCGACGAGTACGAGGACTCTGTGCAGGAGTCACTACGCCAATGGCAGGCAGAAGTTGCCCGCCACCAGCAGGAGCTTCAAGCGGGCCAGAAACGCTTCGAGGAGCTTCTCAAGAGTATCAAGGCGGCCGTCGAGGAGCCCGCCAACAAGAAGAGGCGCACCCCTGAGGGTGCAGTGCACGGTGCGGCGCCTGCGGCGCGTGCTGACACGCCAGCCAAGCAGGCCCCACCGACGACGCCAGCCCCCCCCATTGTGCCGCCTCCAGTCAAGGCGGCGCCTGCCAAGGTGCCTGCGTGCCCGCCAGCCAAAGGTGGAGGCACAGCGGCGCCAGCGGCACCGTCGGCGGCCGAGCGCACGGCCAACCTCCTCACGGAGGAGCAGGCCACCGCTGCTCGTGAGGCCATCTCCCAGAAGTCCAAGGAGGCAGCGGCTGCGGCGAAGCAGACAGGGAAGCCCGCCACTCTCACAGCCGCGAAGGAGGGCCTCAGGCAGGCGGTCGGTCATCACCCCCATGAAGCTTCTCCTGCTGCTGATGGCGCTGCTGCACCCAGCGGCCAGCCGTCGCGGGGGTGACGAGTCACATGTGACGTTGTTCTTCGGCAACGTCACCCAGTGGGGGCCCACAGCCTCCAGGTACATTCACAAGATTCGCAAGCACTACAAGGTGGTCGCCCTAGTGGAGACCCACATCGAGAAGGCGCGCATCCCCCTGGAGCGCGAGACACTACGGAAGGATGGATGGAAGTTGACAGCCACACCAGCAGTGAAGAAGCATGAAGGCTTCTCCGCAGGCGAATGGATATTGGCTCGTAATTTCGTCGCCACCACGACGATGGAGAAGATGCGCACGGAGATGATCGCCATGGGACACAAAGACCCGTTCAGAGGTTTCATTCCCATTATATGGCACCTGCAATCTGGCAACTTGGTGGTAGTTTCAACGTACCTCTCCCCAGGCATGGGAGTCCAGCGCAGGAATGCAGATACCCTCAAGGCTTTGTCGGCCTTTCTTTTCAAGATTAGAGACCCCTGGATCGTCCTCGGAGACTGGAACATGTCGCCAGCGGCATTCACCAATACTAAGTGGCCCAGCAAGATGCAGGGACACATCGTCACGGCAGGCAACGTGCACTTCACCTGCGACCAGGGCACCAATGGCGGCATGTACGACTATGCATTCGTGAAGGATGGATACCAGGACTTTGTCAATATTCAGGCGGTACTGACAGTTCCTTGGAGACCGCATGCTGGACTGGAGATAACCATCGCGGGTTTCAGCAGCAAGTGGTGGCACCGCAGCATTACGTTGGTCCCCACGCTGCCCGCATACTCCAAGCCAAAGCTCCAGGCCCAGGCCGACAGCAAGCGTAGCAAGCAGAAGAAAAAGCAGACTCAACGGCGAGCTGAAGTACTCCCAGAACAGCTGCAGGATGCGTTCCTTGAGATGAGTCATGAGCAGGACGGCCAAGAACCTACCCAACCAGAGTTCCACATCCCTGGGGACAATTGGACTGTTGGACTCGTTCAGGCGGACGCTCTATTGATGGAGGGACTTGATTTCACCTCCCATCCCATCCCAGTCACTCAGGCGTTGGCTCGTGACGTGGAGGGACAGCACCAGATTGATTGGCATTACGCGAGATGGGTCACGGCCTTGGAGGAGACTATACTCTCTGTTGAGCCAGCGCCCCAGCGACATTGCACGGGCAGACGCAACGGCTTCCAACTTCAATGGGAAGTATCTAAGTCAACCCCAGGACGAGTTCATGTGGAAGATAAGCCTGCTGAGTTATGGGGTGTGATGTCGACCTTGGTCTCACGCCTGCGCAAGCTGGTCGCCAAAGGTCTTGACCCAGCGCAGCAGAATGATATACTCAGGCGGCTGAAAGAAATTGGTGCAGGCATTCTCAAGGGCACGCCACTGCAGTACTTCGGCAAGAACAGTGATGCGGATCGCGAAGAATGGACTGACATGTACAGCAGGCTTTGCAACGTGGACCAGTCGCAGATCCAGGCTGAGTACTCCGCAGTGATGGCCATGAAGAAGGCCAGTAAGGCCCCGACGCCAGACCACTCCGACCTCGACCCAGGCATCCTGAAGCTCATCAGCCGCACTCCACACTTCCAGTGCTGGCCAGTCTCTGGCACCCCCTTCGCTCAGGAAGGTACGGATGCGGCATCTCCAGTTATGTGTGTCCTGGGAGAGGCACACGGGGTCGGGGGCTTCCCCCGCGGACCCACAAGTCCTACGGCTACGGCTACTCCATCCCCGAACCCTTCGCCTGAGTGTGCCCAGGTAGAGGCACACGGGGTCGGGGGCCTTCCCCGCGGGCCAACAGGAACTCCAACGGCTGGTACCGCTCAAGTTCTTCTGGCCCCCCAAGGTAGGGAAGATTGTCACGGTGGGCGTCGTCCTGGCGACCCTCAGTCACCTTGGGCGTCCATCCATGATGATGATGACCTGCCTGGCCAGCGTGAGGGAGAGGTGCGTGAAGGCTCTCCACAGATGCAGACGCGGCATAATCTGGATATGTGCACGATGGAAGATGTGTACGGAGTCGGGGGCTGTCCCCGCGGACTCACAACGGCGACGGCTTCCTTGTCTACTTCGGCCTCATTGCTGCAGGACATTGACGGCAACAACGGGATGGTTCGTCGCACAAATATGGATGACGAAGATGATACGCCACAAGTTCGCCTGGCCCCCCAAGGTAGGGAAGATTGTCATGGTGGGCGTCGTCCTGGCGAGCCTCAGGGAACACCTTGGGCGTCCATGCATGATGATGATGACCTGCCTGGCCAGCGTGAGGGAGAGGTGCGTGAAGGCTCTCCACAGATGCATATGCGGCATAATCTGGATACGTGCACGCTAGAAGACGTGTACGGAGTCGGGGGCTGTCCCCGCGGACTCACAACAGCGACGGCTTCCTTGTCTACTTCGGCCTCATTGCTGCAGGTCGCCCCCCCTACAGAGCCCCTGGACCCACAATGCATGCCCACCAACCCCGCAAGGGGCGGTAGTAAGGGAGCAGAGTGGGGACAGTTGGGAGGCCAGGCGAATGCCGTAGGGAGCGAGCCCGACCTGCGGCACAAGGACATCAACGGCAGCAGCGGGATGGTTCGTCGCACGAATATGGATGATGAAGATGACGTGTTCGCTCAGACTGAACACGAGGAGGAATATGCTCCCCATGATGACCTGGAACCAGCAGAAGTTCCACCTGAACTTGGCCCAGCACAACGGGCGTTGGCAACCCTGTCCCTCGACTTTTTGGACAAGGTTAATGAACGCACGGAGTCCTTGGAGAGACGAGCTCAAGCACGTGCTTTTGCCAAGGGCCAACACAGTTTCATGAAGTGGATACGAGAGACGTGGTCCAAGAAGCCTGGGATCTTGCATCGACATGTGAAGGGCCCCCAGGCTGATACCACGGAAGTTGAAGGCATTGCTGACCCAGCTCTCATCATGAACAGCCGCCACAAGTACTGGCAGAATGTCTGGACGGACAACGCTGACACCATGGAAGACATCGTCTATGAGATCGGCCAGGCGCTCAGAATTGCGAAGGAGCAGGACATCGACCCAATCGCATTAGAGAAGCTGGTGAATGCACTAGCTCGTATGTCGGCCAACAAGGCCAAAAGGGTAGATAACATCAGCGTGAATGATATTGCCAGGCTACCCGTGTCAGGCAAGCAGATGCTAGTGGACTTCCTCAATTGCGCGGAATATGTAGGCTCATGGCCGAGGCAGATCCATGCGACGATAGGAGCACTCGCTGCCAAGCCCAGAGGAGGAGACAGAGTATTGGGGCTCCTCCCCACCACGGGAAAGGTTTGGAGTCAGACTCGAGTCGGACCAGCTGCAGAATGGTCCAAGGGGCTCAGTGACTTCTGGGACACGGCGCTGGCGGGGTCCTCGGCCCTTCGGGCCGCCATGCTTCGATCTCTCCTCGACGAAGTGGGGATGGTCAACAAGAAGCATTTCCTGACCCTCCTCCTAGATCTGGAGAAGTTCTACGACAGTGTATCGCTGTGCATCCTTATGCGCACAGCCATCAAGGTGGGGTATCCAGCCATTGTGGTACTCATGGAGGTGCAGATGTGTATCGCCCCAAGGATCCTCAAGCTCAAGCAGTGGGCGAGCGACCTCCTGATCGTCACCAGATCGTTGGTGGCAGGCAGCCCCAAGGGGGTTCAACTCGCCAAGGTCTTTCTCCACCCCATCCTTGAGAGAGTCCACAAGGTCGCCCCACAGACGATGTTGGCCACCTACATTGATGACACCGTTGCACGTGACGAGAATGATGATGAAGAAATAGTTATTGCTAATATGACGGAGGCTGCAGCTGAGTTCAGAGCGGCATTCCTGGAGTACAGGCTGGTTGTCTCGGACAAAACAGATCTCATCGCGTCGTCCAAGTCCTTGGGTCTACGCATGGCCAGGATTATGAGACGACTCGGCATCCCAGTATCCTACAAGCTGGCGGCCACGGACCTGGGCGTCGACGTCAGTGCTGGGCGCAGGAGAGTAAAGAAGAAGGCTAACCAACGTCTCGCAGCAACCCGACGGCGTCATGGTCGTGTCTTACGCCTTCGTCGTCTCGGACCCAGAGTCCGAAGAGTCTGCAGTTCACTCTGGAGCACGGGAGTTTTACCACAGGGTTGCTACGGCCATCAAGTTCTTGGCACGGCTCCCAGCACGATGTTGGAGGTCAGGCGCCAGGCAGGGTCGGCCATTGCAGGTACTAAGCGAGGCAGATGTCTGACTTCGGTGCTGGAAGCGACCCTTGCTCAGCGCGACCCAGGACTCGAACTACCTCGTCAACTCTTGGAGGCATGGCTGCGTCTATGGTTTGACAATCCACAATATCACAATCCCATTCGTTGGGCATGGTTGCGCATCCACAATGCTGTAGTGGTTGATGGCAGGGCTAGATGGCAGAGAGTTCGTGGCCCAGTTGCTGCAGTGATTGCCACCCTCGTCAATGCAGGTTGGGAATGCAAGCAACCAGAAGTTTGGACTCGGACCATTGCGGGCATTGAGTGGATCTTCCCCAGAGTGGGCACACCTCAGTACCAGCAGGTCGATCTTCACGATATGCTACATGAATTCACGGCAGACCTCCGACACCAGCTCTGGAGGAAGGCCAGTCAATTTGAGGGAGCACATGACCTACAACATGGAGCTGATTTCTCTCAGATCAAGCGCGAGCTCGACAGGTTCGAACGCAAGCAGACATGGAGAACTGGGGCCTCACCTTGACAGTGGTGTCTGGAGGCCAGTGGACTCGTGAACGACAACGGGCACAGGGCTACGCCACGGAGCCGCTCTGCAGACGTTGTGGGCGGGAGCCTGAGACGCTCCTGCACCGTGTATGGCTGTGTCCAGCCAACTGTCATCAAGATGCGTACAGAAAAAGTGACAGCTTCATCGCCCGTGCCGTCGCCTCCCATGAGAGCGAGCCCAGCCTTTGGCTCCGTGGGGTTCCCCCCGAGAAGCAGGTGGTGCCTGAGTTTTCGGAGGAGTCTGTGCTTGAGAAAGGGCTGCTTCTTATGGGGAACCCCAGCGCTGCTGTTTCGGATCCCCTCCAGGGCCCCCTCATTGTCTTTGGAGACGGATCTGGAGGAGAGTACTCCAGTGATCCTCGCCGTCGGCGGTGCGGGGCGGGAGTTGCCATTCTCCAGGCGGACCCTGTCGCCGATCTTTCGTGGAGCACTGTTTGGGCGGCCTCTGCGCCTCTTGTGGGCCCCAGACAGACGGTCCCCCGCGCGGAGCTGCTCGCTTTCTGCTTGGCCTTGGAGTTGACACATGGCCCCCTCGATTTTATCACCGACCACCTCCCCCTGTATAGAGCCTGGCAGTTGGGTAGGGGTGTTCGGAAGGCTCCTAAGGAGCAGAATTCTGACCTGTGGGTGAGGATCCGTCAGGCGCACTCTCAGAGGCCTCACCCTGTCCGTGTATTTTGGACCCCCTCCCATCTCGAAGATGAGGAAGGGGGAATTCGCACTCGCTGGCAAGCTTTCCTGTCTTTTGGAAACGCCGTGGCTGATGACCTCGCCAGCGATTCTGCTGCCCGCGGGTTCCAGTTAGCCACCGAGTCTAAGGAAGTGCCTAGGACGGACGAGCTTGACGTGATTGCCTGGCTTGTCCGCCGTCGAGCGTCCCAGGCCCTCCAGGATACAGCTGCTGTTGACCCGTGGGAAGGAGAGTGGGCGGGCCCCGCAGTGCCGCGCCAGCGCATATCCCGCAGAGTACAGGTTCTGCGGGACTCCACCCACGTATTCCAACGCGCAGGTGGCAGGTGGAGGTGCTCCACCTGTGGCGAGCTCGCCACCACCACCGCCTTGGAGGCGGCCGCGAGGAGGCCGTGCCGCCCCCCTCCCATCTCCTCCTCCTCCGCCACCACCCCCAATATGTCTGGGGTCACCATTCGGCGGGAGTCGGGGACGGTGTGGGTGGGGGGCCGAAAGGTTGACCCCGGACATCAGATTTGGTCCTGGGATCACATGAGTCTGAAATTTTGTATGTTATGTGGTTTCACTGCGACCCTCGACGGACGCCACCTCTCGCGCCCTTGCGGGCCCGCCGTCACGGGAGCGGCGCGCTCCAAGAAGGGGCAGTGTAACCTCGTGCGAATTTCTAAGGGCCTGCACCCGTGCCCCCAGGGGGCGCCTGAAGTGGCCCGATCTCTTCTTTGATGTGGGTGCACATCTATAGTTCTGGCAAGGACACTGGTCCTCAGTGGTAATCTCCTGGTAATCTCCTCCTCCTCCTCCTCCTCCTTCTCGTCCTCCTCCTCCTCTTCCTCCCCCTCCCCCACCTCCTCCTCCTCCTCCTCCTCCTCCTCCTCCTCCTCCTCCTCCTCCTCCTCTCTCCTCCCCCTCCTCCCCCACCCCCTTCTTCCTCCTCCTCCTCTCCGCCTCCTCCTCCTCCTCCTCCTCCTCCTCCTCCTCGTTGCTCACCTGGCGCGCTGCTTCTGGGGGGCGTGGGGGGGGGGCCAGACCCACGCGCACGCGGGCCGCCACCGTCGCATCGAGTGCGGCGGTGGGCGGGCCGCGCACCGGAGGTCACGGTCGCCCAGGGCTCGCTCCCGCGGGATGATGATAATGATGATGATGATGATGATGATGATGATGATGATGAAGATGATGAAGATGAAGCTGAAGCTGAAGCTGATGCTGATGCTGATGCTGATGTTGATGATGGTGCTGATGCTGATGCTGATGCTGATGATGATGAGGAGGAGGAGGATGCTGATGCTGATGATGAGGTTGATGCTGATGCTGATGATGATGATGAGGATGAGGAGGAGGATGAGGATGAGGATGAGGATGAGGATGAGGATGAGGATGAGGATGATGATGATGATGATGATGATGATGATGATGATGATGAGTATGATGATGATGATGCTGCTGATGATGATGAGATGATGATGAGAGGAGGAGGAGGAGGAGGGAGGGAGGAGGAGGAGGGAGGAGGAGGAGGAGGAGGAGACAGAAGCGCCAGAGTGGCGCGGCCACCGCCGCGGTGCCCAGGCGACCTGCGCAAGAGCTGCGACTTCATCATGAAGAATTTCGACGCCCGGCAGGAAGCGCGCGCTCAGGAGCGGAGCGTGTGCCCCCGCTGGGTTCGCCAGCCCTGTGGGCCTGCACCTCCCCTCTCCGCCTCCATGCTCCTCCTCCCTTCTCCTTCCTCCTCCTCCTCCTCCTTCTCCTCCTCCTCCTCCGTCCTCCGTCCTCCGTCCTGATTCTCCCTCCTCTCTCCCCTCCTCCTCCTCCTCCTCCTCCTCCTCCCCTCCTCCTCCGTCTCCGTCCTCCGTCCTCCGTCCTGATTCTCCCTCCTCCTCCTCCCTCTCCTCTTCCTCTCTCCTCCTCCTCCTCTCCTCCTCCTCGCCCTCCTCCTCTTGCTTCCCTCCTCCTCCCCCTTCTTCTTCTCTCTACCTCCTCCGCCTCCTCCTCCTCCTCCTCCCCCTCCTCCTCCCCCTCCCCCTGCTTCTCCCTCCTTGTCCTCCTCGTCGTCACCGCCCCCCTCTTCCTCCTCCGCCTCCGCCTTCGTGGGGAGGAAGGCGCGGGAGGGGAACGGTGCAGGGCCCTTTCTCAGAGGTCGCAGCGGCCCCCCTCCTCCCAGACCGGTGGGCTGCCCTGGCCTGGCCTCTGAAGGGGACCTTTCGTTTCCACCCCCCTTTCTGACCCTCTCCCTCGTTGGAATGCAGTCAAGGTGCTGAAACACAGCCTATGCGTACGGTAAGGACAGGCGACTTCCCAATGGTGCCCTGGCGTCCTTGCCCCTTCGGCCCGTCCTCAGCCGTCATCGCTGGCCGCGGCGTCCTGACCATCAATTGGCACTGCAGGGTCCACTCTTGGCTTCGGATGCGCCTTGGTGTTCGGGCCGCTCTTCAGAGCTGGGCCGAGGAGCCCTGACCGCTGCACCAGGCTTGCCACTGTGGCTCTGTCACTCATTCGGCGTTGCTGGTGGTAGCGCCATGGTTGTAGGCAGCCTGCACCCGACGTCCGTGGCGCGACCCCCCAAGGAGATCCAGGCGCTGGGGGAGGCGAAGGCGATCCTGTCCGGCATGAACTGAGAGTTTCGCGGCTCAAGCTGAGGACACCTCCCCGAGATCCGACGCCGCGAAAAATTGCAGCATCGTGGAAACTCACGATGAGGGAGGAGGA